TCTTATGATATGAAACAGAACTAAAGTAAAACAAAACCCACTTAATACAAGAATGAAAAAGACAAAAGCCAATTAATAAAGTGAGTAGGAGAAAATACTGTAAGAATCTAGGTTTACAAAAGCTATGAGTATCAGCTCTGGTAGCATAGTGCCTAAGGCACTTGACTGCTAACCAGAAGGCTGGCGGTTCAAACCCACCAGCCACTCCTCTGAAGGAAGGTTGGGCAATCTACTTCCGCAATGATACTGCCTCAGAAACCCAAGGAGGGGTCGCTATGAGTCGGGTCTGACTCGACGGCACACAACAACAACAACATGAATATGAGAATGAATATGTGGTTTTTAATATATAGAAAGACAGATCTAGAAAAATAGATTTACGGCTTAGTATACATACATGTACTTCCTGGCTCTGTCCACAAAGAAGGCCTAAGATCTAGAACACCCCAGGAGCAATAAGCACACCTACCATCCAGATCTTGGTTCCTAAATACCATTCTCCACCTTGGAAAGAGGTGAATTCCAGCACTGGAGCAAGGAAAATACAGATGCACCTGGAACATCTTATAAAGTCAGAAAACAAGGAAGTATACCAAAGGCCATATGCGCCAACTAGAATATGCTCCCAATGGCCAAAGTAGAAAATGTGATCAGTAAAATAAATAATCATAGATTAGATTATTACTCATACAATTAATTTCCATGAGCCTACTTTGATAGAAATGTATGTAATTGAATAAATAAATAAATGGAATAGGACAGCTCTTCCTTATAGACAAATTTCAATTAATAAACACAGAAGGAATGAGGGAGATCATGTCATCATAGACAAACACCACATTAATAATTGTTCCATGTAAAATCCACAGATGGATGCTAACTTAATTCAGTGGGCCAATTGGTGATGAGAAACAAAGTATTACTATAGTCTCTGAATACTCCCTTCCCAGCCAAGATATTTATCGATTACAAAGGAAAAACCAATAGCTTTACAGTGGAGAATCCCAAAGACACCATGTTAACCAAGTGATCAATGTTAACATCACCATAATAAGACATATCAACGCTATGTACCCCCAATACGATTTAATGAGCCAACATCATTTGTGTGATATTCTTGCCAAAAATGCAGAATCTCAATCTATTCAAGAGAAAATATCAAACAAACCAAAATCAAGAAGCATTTTACAAAATCATTAACCAGTAAGGCATATCAAAGGCATAAGGTCATGAAAAGAAAGGAAACCCTGAGAAACAGTCGCAGATTGGAAGAGACTAAGGAAACACGACAACTAAACACAGTGTGGTATTTCTGAATTGGATCTCACAGAAAAAGGATTTTAGGGGGGAAATGGTGAGATTCCAACAAGAACTGCAATGTAGCTAATAGTACTATACCAATGTTGATGTCCTGGTGTTGATGACTGTACTATGGTTGTACACTTGTCATGATTATAAGGTAAACAGATAACATTAACAAAACCTGTGTGAAGGGTACACATGAGAACTCACCAATGTTTTTACAACTCTTGTAGGAATCTAAAATTATTTCAAAAACTAGAAAAGCTATCAACTTAGAGTACAACACTGTTCTGAATTTCCTATTATGTGAAGTAAAAAGGGAAAAAAATGGTTAGGTATCTCTCTCCCTTGTCTAAAAAAAGGAAGCATATAAATTCAGGAGAAAAAGATTCCCTTGAACTTAAGTTCAGAGTAATTCCACAATATATGAAGGTAAAAAAAAAAAAAAAGATTTAAATTCCTTCTCCTTATGATGGTAAGAGTGTGTACATGGAGCAATTAGCAATTAATATTGTGTTTATATTCCAAGTCCGATATACATTCATTAATGACACTTCCACCTTCCTCAAAGTCAGGTTTAAGGAAAATTTATTAATAAACCAAAAGGAAAAGATGAAAGAAAAGTTCAGGACTTCAATTTCACTGTCAAGAAGTTCCAAAAACCTGCAAGTGATATCAAAAGACCTTTGCCTATTGCAAATACTTCCACTACCTGAAAAGATGTACTTGCAGAACTGTTTCCTCATTAACTCAACTACAATTAATGCACTATTTCCTATCAAGCTAACTTCTTATGTACTTCAGGGGGGAAAAAGTAGTCTCCTAGTAATCTGGTACCAGAATGGCTTTAAAAGCAAACATTCCCAACCATGAACAAAGAACCAAATGTTACCAGATTTTTGTTTCTCAACTAATACAACAGTGCCACTCTGTGGACAAACAGGAAACATTTAATAACTTTTTCTTTGTAAATTACCAGGTTTTTTTGGGGTTTTTTTTATCCACATAACACACCCATGTAAACAACCACTCGGGGGTGCACTGTTTGCAAAAACCTGTATAGCACATGCATTATTTGTGTAGAAATATGGTAATCTCTGAAATCACCTTAGATCCTTTTTTAGAGTAACAGTATAAATAAGTAAATAGTCATTATATTTCATTATAAAAACTCTTTAAGAAGAAATTACGGACTATAAAAATAACTTTAATGTATACATAAAAATTTTAAAACAACAACCTCACTGATGTCAAGTCGGTCCCGACTCATAGCGACCCCTCCTTGTGTTTCCGAGGCAGTATCACTATGGAAATAGATAGCCCAACCTTCCTTCCAAGGAGTGGCTGGTGGGTTTGAACTGCCAGCCTTCTGGGTAACAGTAAGTAGTTATCTATCTTTGTTTCAGAATACATGATAAAAAAAATTACCTGCATGATAGCTTATAGCAAAAATTTCAACAAACTTTACTGTTTCACATTTTAACCTTCATAAAGTTTGTTATTTTGAAGATTGATTAATGAGAATAAACTATGCCTAGGGTGCCTCACACTTTCCCTAACAATTAAACTAAAAAACAACTTATCTGAATTAGCCCTGCATTACAAACTTACTAGACAGTCAAAATAATATGGAATTATAATATAGATTGTTGTTGTTGTTGTTATGTGCCCTCGAGTTGGACCCGACTGATAGTGACCCCTCCTTGGGTTTACAAGGCAGTATCACTACGGAAGTAGATTGCCCCATCTTCCTTCTGAGGAGTGGCTGGTGGGTTTGAACCACCAGCCTTCTGGTTAGCAGTCAAGTGCCTTAGGCATTATGCTACCAGAGCTCCCATAATATAGATTAGTAATTATAAAATATCATCTTACCCTTATATTCTGCTTTATGCTTTTTAAATAGTTTTCATATACTTACGTCAGAAACTATGACTCTTGGTAGGCAGTTAACATTATCTTCAGAGATGAAACCATTGGAATTGATGGAAGTTAGAGACTTACCTTTAATACTTAATTGGTATTAATATCCATTTCTTCATGGAAGTAAATAAATATGTTGTCAGTTCAGCTAAATTATACATAGTTTAATAATCTATTTTATTCAACGTCAGAGATCAAGAAATACAGCAGAATATGATGGAAATGTAAAACAGTCCAACCACTTTGGAAAACTGTTTTGCAATGTCTTAAGGAGCCTTTGTGGCACATCAGTTAAGCACTTGGCTGCTAACAGAAAGGTTGGTGATTTGAACCCACCCAGCGGCTCTGTGGGAGAAAGACCTGGCAAACTGCTCCTGTAAAGAAAACAACCTAGAAAACCCTATGAGGCAGTTCGACTTTGTCACATGGAGTAACTATAAGTAAAAATCAACTTAACAGCACCCAACAACAAAAAAAGTTAAACTTCCATCTACCCCAGGACCTAATACTTCCACTCCCAGGTATTTACCCAAATTAAATGTAAACATATGATCAGAAAGAGATTTCCCATAAACATCTTCATAACACTTTACTCATAACAGCCAAAAACTAGAAATGACCCAAACACCTATCAAGAGGAGAACAGATAAAAAAAAGTATGGATACAAATACAATGGAATACTACTTAGCAAATAATGGGAATAAAATATTGACACTAATAACAACTAGATGAATCTCCAAAACATTATTCTAAGGAAAAGAAACGAGACACAAAAGAATACATACTATATGACTCTAACTGTATGACAAAGAGGCAAAACTAATCTATGATGGACAAAATGGTAATTCCCCAAGGTTGGGGGTATGGGGACTCATTTAGGAAGAGGCATGAGAGAACTTTTTGGAGTGATGGAAATGTTTTTTATCTTGATAGGGATGTGGGCATATACATTTGTCAAAACTCATGAACTGTCTACTTAAAACCTACATTTCACTGTATAAAATTCAACTCGGTTTAAAAACTTGTATAGCAACAATTGGTAAAACATACTACACAAAGACATCGTTCTACATTCTACTCTTGTCAGTAGCGACTGGGGTCTTAAAAAGCTTGCAAGTGGCCATCTAGATGCAACAACTGGTCTCTCCTGATCTGGAGAAAAGAAGAAAGAAGAAAACCAAAGATGCATGGAAACAGTTAGTCCAAGGGACTAGTGAGACCAGAAGAACTAGATGGTGCCCAGCTACCACTGTTAACACTCGGAAAGGGATCAGTGCAAGAGATTCTGGATAGAGTGGGAGAAAAATGTGGAACAAAACTCAAAATCATAAAAAGACCAGGCTTACTGGTCTTATAGAGCCTGGTGAAACCCCCAAGACTATGGCCCCAGTCACCCTACAGGCCTGGAATTGAACTTACTCCATGGCATATAGGGTGAACAGTCACACCAGGTAGATACACTCCTTAGAACAAGCAATCATGGGAGATCAGAAGGGCAGTATTTACACAGGGGACAGCTGAGGGGGCAGAAAAGCACAGGAAAAGACACAGGGAAGAGGTAACTACAGGGAGGAAGTGGGAAGAGAGCTGTTACATTATGCAGATTGCAGTCAGTGTCATGAAACAAAATGTGTATGAACTACTGCATGGAAAATGAATGTACTCTGTAAATTTTCACCCAAATCGCAATTTTAAAAAAGATGAAAAGAAAAGTAACGATATAAATATCTCAAAACAAAAAGAATAAAGAAAAATTTTCACTTTAGTATATACATACTGAATAATCTCTCTTCGGAGTAGATGATCGTCTCTTTTTGTACAATGGGCCAAGCTCTACTTGCTCTATGTTGTGGCGATTTCCTTCTAAATTTACTCGATATTTCCTCCATGATGCTCCTTCGTTACCTAAAAAAAGCAACACATAAAAAAGCTATTACACTCATTTCCTACCTTACCCATTGCTGTGGAGTTGATTCAACTCATATAGCTACCCTATAGGATAGAGTAGCACTGCCTCATAGTTTCCAAGGCTGTAAATTCTTTAAAGAAGCAGACTGCCAAATCTTTCTCCCCTGGAATGGCTGGTGGATTTGAACCATCAACTATCTGATTGGCAGCCAAACATTTAACCACCATGCCACCAGGGCTTCTTGATCTTAATAACCTTAATATGGACATGCTCTAAGATGTCACCTCAAATTGAACTGGAGTCCTGGTTGCATTTTAGAGCATGTCAAAGCAACAATTCTTCCATTAGTGATTTAGAAGTCTTTAAAAATTGAAGGCTATCTTGACCATGACTAGGAATATCCCTTTTTACCTAGGGAGGAAGGGCATGCTGGGAAAAGCCCCTAAAAGGGAGTCAGGAGTCTATTCTGAATTTTGTCCCTACCACCTACATGTATGGATTACACCTCAACATAAAGAAAACAAAAATCCTCACAACTGGATGAATAAGCATCATCATGATAAATGGAAAAAAGATTGAAGTTGTCGGGGATTTCATTTTACTTGGAGCCATGTTGTCAGAAGGGATCAGTCCCTGAAGAAGGATATCATGCTTGGTCAAGTAGAAGGTCAGTGAAAAAGGGGAAGACCCTCAACAAGATGGACTGACACAGTGGCTGCAACAATGGGCTTAAGCATAGCAAGGACTGTGAGGATGGCGCAGGGCCGGGCACTGTTGTGCATGGGGTCACTATGAATCAGAGCCAACTCAACAGCACCTAGCAACAACAACAACCTACATGGAGTGGGCAAACCACCGGAGACACTACTTCCGCACCTACCAGGTGAAAACTGGTCATGGTTACATCTAAGGTCCATTTCAGCTCTAATATTATGATTGCCTGATTTGTTAAATCTTACATTAAACCTAAATAAATGTATACACAATATAAGCTAAAAACTCTCCTAGAATTACGTAGGCTCAGTTATGGCTCTAAGTGATTTATATTCTAAAACTGTGCAAGCAGAAAAAGACATTGATTGCAACACTATCAGACTTTATCTTGAATTAGAAAATTTGAACACTTGCATCCTGGTTAGGAAAATAGGTGTGTTAAGGGAAAGAGTGAATTCATTTAATCACCCTTGAGCCAGAGCAGTAAGGAAACGCAAATTTAAGTGATACAAGTGTTGCCTTCATTCCTGTTTCCCATCTCATTCTACAGTGGAAATACTAATGAGCAAGGGCCTCAAAAGGAGACCAAGAAGATGGGTGAATTAACTCTGATGTTAGGTAAATGCTGACTAATACTGGGTAAAAGTTTGAAGTTATAAAATACTTCCAATTTGAGCCATAACATCAACCAAATTTTATCTTTAAAATTGTTTATTTTCTAATTATAAAACTAATCAGAAACTAACTAGGAGTGAATAATTAAATTGTGGTGTATTCCTATAAAGAAATACTATGCAGCTGTGAGAGTAAACTATTACTTCTCACAACAAGGACGAATCTCACAAACATATTGCGAATACAGTATATGACTCAATTTATATAAAGTTCAAAAACAGGCAAAAGTAATCTATGGTGGGAGAAGTCAAGATAGTGGTTACCTTGCAAGGGGATTGGTAATTAAAAGAATATGGGGGTTATATGCCAAGGAGTCTGTAATTTTCTATTTCTTGATATGGGTGGTTGGTATGCTAATATATTTAAGTTGTATATGGAGTGCTGGTGGCGCAGTGCGTAAGGCATTTGACTGCTAACCAGAAGGCTGGAGGTTCAAACCCACCAGCCCCTCCAGAAGGAGACTGGGCAATCTGCTTTCATAGAGATACCATCTCGGAAACCCAAGGAGGGGTCACTGTTGGTCGGAATCAACTCGACGGCAGTGAGTGAGTGTGATGGATAATTTGTGCATATTTTATATGTGACAGATTTCTATAAAAAGTCTACCTAAAAAAGTAAGTGCCACCTACAAAATCCAGAATCTAAACAAAGAGAAAGTTACCAGGGTAATGCACACGAAAATGTCATAACCTTTTGATGAATCTCCTTCCCTTTTTCTTATTCTATACATATTTTAGGGAGCTTTCTTTGGTGGTGTAGTGCCTAAGGTACTTGACTGCTAATCAGAAGGCTGGCGGTTCAAACCCTCTAGCCACTCCTTGGAAGGAAGGTTGGGCAATCTATTTCTGTAGTGATACAGCCTCAGCAACCCAAGGAGGAGTTGCTATGAGTTGGGTCCGACTTGACGGCACATAACAACAACAACAACCCTAACCCAGTTTCCTCCCCACCCCTGCCCAGTAACCCTCTCCCCCACCCCGTGCCCCTCAATGGCAGATTTCTCAAAATCGGATCACCAGGCCTTTCTTCTGAGGCACCTCTGGGTGGATGCCAACCTTTTGGTTAGCAGCCGAACATGTTACTAGTTTACAACATCCAGGGACTGCAGCAATAATTACAGTTGCCGAATAGGAACAATTTTTCAGAAATGGAGAATATGTTCTCCCCAATGCTTTCTGAGGCTACCTTCCACAGAGCAAAAGAGAAAAAGGAAACATGCTAAAGCTTAAATGGATGAAAAATGCACACACAAGTAAATACTGTGATTATCACTATGAAGCCTGGCCTTCTGAAAACAATGAATTAATGTAAAGGTTACAGAAATATTTAAGCCATTTACTACAAATGGGGACCAGGAGCAAAATTCCTCACAGGAGGAAATTTAACAAATTTATCCTATGACATTTGGAATGCTTGCTGTTAGTTTTAACTGCTACCTTGAGGATTAAGTTGTATGCGCAACATACCATCAGTGTTAGAATCTTGTATAACCACCATATCATCATTGTTGTCCTCTTCAACGATTATAACATAATCTAAGAATAAACAAAGGGAAAGTTTAGATTGAATACTACATTAAAGGTTCTAGAGAAAATTATCTCACAAAGTTATAAATTGTGTCAAACAACCCACCAGCCACTCCTCAGAAGGAAGGTTGGGCAATCTATTTCTGTAGTGATATCACCTTGGAAATCCAAGGAGGGGTCGCTATGAGTTGGGTCCGACTCGACAGCACATAACAACAACAAAACATGTATTTTACCTGGAAAATTGTATTAAGTATTTTACATCCCTAATCATTACATTAGGAGTGCTGATGGCATAGTGCCTAAGGCATGTGACTGCTAACCAGAAGGCTGGCAGTTCAAACCCACCAACCATTCCTCAGAAGACTGGGCAATCTACTTCCTTAGTGATAACCACCTTGGAAACCCAATGAGGGGTCACTATGAGTTGGATCCTACTCCATGGGAATGAGTTTGGGGTTTGGGTTTTTTTTTTTTTTTTTTTTTCCTGTTAATCATT